GATCACGCCCCTGCATTCCAGCCTTGGTGACGGCAAGACTCCATCTCAAAAAAACGGAAAAAATAAAAGAGGTTCTCTATCTCAGCCCATTTACAAAACAGTACACAGAGCGCAGCGATAGAAGTCAGGGTAAAGCCACACCCGTCAGAGGACGCCAGGCCGGGCTAGGAAAGGAGGGAACCCCTGGGGAACTCCTTGGCTCCAAGTACACCAGGGCCTGGGAGGTAAGGAGGGGTGCGCATGAAGACGCTGTTTTCTCAATCCCTCCTCTCCCTTGCACTCTTCCTCCTCACCTGCTGAGCATTCGTGGTGACCCTAGAAATAGAAGTGCGTGACTTCAGGGTGTGTGTTTTGCCTTGATTTGGAATTCGAACGGGGGGCATGAGCTGTTGGATCACCCAGCCTCTCTGTCTGGCTTCAGTGACAGGCATCTCGGGGCAGCCCCTCCCTCGCAGGCAGCTCTGACCTAGTCCCCCTGTGTTGAACACAGCCCACCTCCCTCCAGCGCAGACACACTGAGCCCCGGACAGGCGGAGGAAGTGTGGCCCTTTCACACAAGCTCTGCAGATACTTGGGGCAGCTACCCTGATCGCTCAGTTGATGTCATGGAAACTTTGGACATTGACAGGTTGCTTTCCGGGCCTATTACACATTATCCAGAAGCTTCCACTACCTTGCATTCCTGGGTTAATTCCGTTAGGCTCATGAAACCTCTATCTTCTATGATTTAGAAAAAAAAAAACCTTAAAAAAAATTTTTTTTTCCCCAGAAAGGTAATACAAGATAAACTTTGAGTCTTTGTATGTCTGAAAATATCTTTCATCTGCTTTAGTACCTGATTAATAGTTTATTTGGGATTAAAATTCTGAGTTCAAAACAGCTTTCCCTCACACCTTCGCAGCCATTTATAACACTGGCTTCCAGTGTCACTGACGACCAGGTGAGGCCACCTGACTCTTGGTTTCTTGTACGTGGCCTATTTCCAGCTGCTTGGCCCTTCCTAGAGACTTATCTATTTAATTTTTTAAAATTAAAAATAATAATTATTTTTTGAGACAGAGTCTTGCTCTGTCACCCAGGCTGGAGTGCAGTGGTGCCGTCTCAGCTCACTGCAACCTCTGCTTCTTAGGTTCAAGCCAGTCTCCTGCCTCAGCCTCCCCAGTAGCTGGGATTACAGGCACCTGCCACCACACCCAGCTAATTTTTGTATTTTTAGTAGAGGCGAGGTTTCACCATGTTGGCCAGGCTGATCTGGAACTCCTGACCTGAAGTGATCCACCCACCTCAGCCCCACAAAGGGCTGGGATTACAGGTGTGAGCCACTGCGCCCAGGGGGTTCATCTTGATTATTTCTTGCACTTTCCCCCTTTAAATGTCTGTGAGTTCTTTTATGACCATTTATATTTATGAATCAAAAACTGTTTGACAAGCACATGCAGCTGGAGTGGGTTTCTTTGTAGTCGTGCACACCTATTTACCCTAAAGTTTTTCCTTTGAACAGAAAGAGCTTGCAAGCTCTGAGAAGTTGTACGCTCAATCCAGACACCTCTTATGTTTGCAGCCTAAATTCTCATCACCTGGGTGGTCCAAAATACTTTACATTAAGTCCTTTAAATTAAAGGATTAATTTAATATCCCTTAAATTAAATTAAAGGATTTAATTTAAAGTGGTTTCAGGCCAGGGATGCCTGCTACGTGCCTGGCAAAAGCAAACGCATCCCCTCTCTGGAGGAAGGCACATTCCTCTTAGGCCTCAAAGAATAGCCATAGGGAATTTTTCAAGGATGACAAGCTGCAAACGACAAAAAATAACCAGCTCCTCAAATAAGCAAGTGAAGACTTAGAAGAAACAATAAACAAAAATATGCCAATGAAAATCTCAGTTACTAAGATCACCAGACGCAGATAATAATCAACTACATTTATTATGTTTAAAGAAAACACCTGCAAAGGACAAGGACTATAGAAAATGACCTAGAAGATTTGAAAAATAACCAAATAGGACTTCTAGAAATGGAAAATACCATAAGCAAAATGAAAGATATCAATGATATGGGTTTAACAGATTAGACAGAGATGAAGAGAGGATCCGTGAGATGGAGAGAGGGAGATAGAAATGACCCAGAACACAGCATAGAGAGACAAGGGCCTGATAAAAGATAGCCAGAGAAGAAATTACAGCAAATATCTTATTCACTCAATATGTGATGGAAACTTTTCCTTTTAATAGAGGATTAAGATGGAGATGGCTGTCATCATCACTTCCTTTCACTGTACTGCTGAAGGTCCCAGCCAGTGCAGTAAGGTTAGGGGGAAAATGTATAAGGATCAGAAAGGGAAAAATCAAATGGTCATTATTCCCAGATCATGTGAATGGGAAGAAAATACGAAGAAATCCATAAATTATTAGAACAATAAGGGAGTTCAGTAAGACTGCTGAGCACAAGATAAATTCATATATCTCTGGCCAGGCCCAGTGGCTGATGCCTGTAATCCCAGCACTTTGGGAGGCCAAGATGAGAGGATCATTTGAGTTCAGGACTTTAAGGCCAGCCAAGGCAACATAGTGAAAGCCCATCTCTACAAAAAATGAAAAATTAGCTGCATGGTGGCATGAGCCCGTAGTCTCAGCAACATGAGAGGCTGACATGGGAGGGTCGCTTGAGCCTGAGAGGTAGAGGCTGCAGTGAGCTATGATCAGGCCACTGCACTCCAGTCTGGTTAACAGAGCAAGACCCTGTTTCAATAGAACAAAAAAAGAAAAGAAAGAATTTTTTTTTTTTTGAGACCAAGTCTCACTCTCTTTCTCGCCCAGGCTGGAGTGCAGTGGTGCGATCTCGGCTCACTGCAACCTCTGCTTCCCAGGTTCAAGCAATTCTCCTGCCTCAGCCTCCAAGTAGCTGAGACTACACATGCGTACCACCACACCTAGCTAATTTTTTGTATTTTTAGTAGAGATGGGATTTCACCATGTTAGCCAGGGTGGTCTCGAGCTCCTAACCTCATGATGCGCCCGCCTCAGCCTCCCAAAGTACTGGGATTACAAGTGTGAGCCACCGTGCCTGGCCCAAGAAAGAAATTTTTAAAAAATATATGTATCTCAGTCATTTCTGAAGCATCAAGCAGGTAGAAATTTTTATTTTTAAAATATAACATTGACAATAACATTAAAATGACCAAGTAGCTATCTAGAAATTGGTATAAAAAGAGATATCTGGTCGGGCATGGTGACTCACGCCTGTAATCTCAGCACTTTGGGAGGCTGAGGCAGGCGGATCATCTGAGGTCAGGAGTTTAAGACCAGCCTGGCCAACATAGAGAAACCCTGTCTCTACTAAAATTACAGAAATTAGCTGGGTGTGGTGGCAGGCGCCTGTAATCCCAGCTACTCAGGAGGTTTAGACAGGAGAATCACTTGAACCTAGGAGGCAGAGGTTGCAGTGAGCTGAGACTATGCCATTGCTCTCCAGCCTGGGCAACAAGAGCAAAACTCTGTCTCAAAAATAAATAAATAGGCCGGGCACAGTGGCTCACGCCTGTAATCCCAGCACCCTGGAAGGCCGAGGTAGGTGGATCACCTCAGCAGAAGTCCGAGACCAGCCTGACCAACATGAAGAAACCCTGTCTCTACTAAAAATACAAAATAAGCCAGGAATGGTGTTGCATGACCGTAAGCCCAGCTACTCCGGAGGCCGAGGCAGGAAAATCACTTGAACCTGGGAGGCAGAGGTTGCAGTGAGCTGAGATCTTGTCATTGTTCTCCATCCTGGTAAGAGCAAAACTCATCCAAAAAAACAAACAAACAATAAATAAAATAAAAAGAGCTATCCATGATATCTCTATAGGGAAAATGATAACTTCTTAGACGACACTAAAGGAGTCCTAAATGAATAGATAGTCCCTATTTATAAATTCGAAGACTCATTAGTGTAAATCTATAAGTCCCCCTAAAATGATCTGTAATTTAATACAACCCTAGAAAAATCCCGTTTTTTTCCCCCAAATATGACAAGCTGATTATAATATATGTATATATGGTCCCTGATTTTGATGATTCAACATAGGATTTTTCCACTTTCCAATGTGTTCTTCGGGACATAACCCCATTGTAAACCAAGGAGCCTCTGTACCTGGAAGTGCCAACAGCCAAGAATCACCAAGACTCTCTTGCAAGAAGAAAGAAGCCGGGAAGACAAGCTTTAGCAGACAGCAAGGCTTGCCTGACACCAAGGATGAGACGGGGTGGTTCTGGCCCAGCACGTGGACTGTTGGAACATAGACTCCATAGCAGCTGCATGCTGTGTAGACACATCCTTGCCTTATGAAGAAAAATCACTGCAGGGCAGCAGGGAGAGGTTCTGGGCAATGTTTAGAGTGGGGTCGGGGTTGTGTGGTTTCCGGAAGTGATATGGGTGTCATGCTAGGTGACAGTGGGTCACATGACCCATGGAGGTGACACACGGGGTGTCCTTATGCTAGGTGACACTGGGTCACATGATCCCTGGAGGTGACCACATAGGGTGTCCTCATGCTAGGTGATAGTGAGTCACATGACCCCTGGAGTGACACACGGATGTCACCGTGCTAGGTGACACTGGGTCACATGATCCCTGGAAGTGGCACAAGGTGTCCTCGTGGCAGTGGGTCACATGATCCCTGGAGGTGACCACATGGGGTGTCTTCATGCTAGGTGGCAGTGGGTCACATGATCTCTGGAGGTGAGAGACGGAGCCCTCACATGGGTGGCTGTCTGGGAGGCAGTGAGCCTGGCCCTGGCTCTGCCACTTGCTCCATGCTTTCCAAGTCACTCTCCTCTTGCAGCCTCCATTTTCTCGCCTGTGCAATGAGTAGATGGAACTCGACAGCTCGAGATCCGTAAGCTCTGAGGCTTATGGATCCTGGGTTGAAAGTGGTGGCCATCGTCTGTCCACACAAAGCCAAAGCCTCAGGCAGGCTGCACTGCTGACAGTCTTTGAATGTCTCGTTTCATCTTTCTCAAGGTGGCTGCAGAGCAGAGCACAGAGGAGCATGTGGGGAAGAGCAGCACCTGTGAGTAAGTACCAGGGAGGCACATCTTCCCGAAGCCACAGGTTCTTTTTGTTGACTCCAGCCAGCCTCAGAGCCCTCCTGCCTGCACCGTTTTCCTCCAGGTCCTCACGAGGTTTCCAGGGGCAGCTTGCTCTAAATGCAAAGCCCTAGTCCTTGAGGGAAGGTCCTGCTGCGGAGATTGCAGGAGGCTCACCTTCTCAGCAGCTTTGATCTCCCGCCTAAATAAGGCCGTGACCTGGGTCAGACCAGGGCTTGCCCAGCCCATTCCCTATTTGCGCCTTAACTCATTCAAACATACTCAGATGCTGTGCTGGGCGCCATGGCCAGACCAAGGAACAAGACACCGGCCTTAAGGAACTGGCAGTCCAGGGCCAGCTGTGGGCCCACGTACAGCTCCACTGCACGGTAGTAGGAAACCACCCTGAACACCCTTGCCGGTAGCAGGCGAGGAGCTCATTTCCTCCTTTAAAATCCCACAGCCCCAGAGCCCCGGCCTCGTCTGTCTGCTCCAGGGACGACTCTCTACCCCAGGCCAGTCACCCCCCGGGCTTGCGCACCTCCAACTAATGTGGCGACAGGTCACTGGGAGCAGGTGATTGTGCTCAGATAAGACTGTGGGGTTGAAAACGGTTGGAAATGTTAGCCATGGTCCTTAATTACAAATGATTTCAGGACAGGAACCCTGCTGGACCCCCTGACGTAACAGACACCGGGAGGTCCTTCCCTGAGCCCCACAGCGGTGCTGAGGGCTGCAATGTAGGCGCTGGGACGGAGGCCTGCCCGGGAGGCGCATGGTCTCTGGAAATGCAGGCAGCGGGCTCCAGGGGAGGTCAGAGCTGGCGTTTAAGATGGCTTGAAGGGATTGGAGTCACAGCACCAAAAAACAAAGATGGCTTGAAGGGGCCAAGCCCAGAGTGGCTCATACTTGTGACCCTAGCACTTTGGGAAGCCCAGGTGAGCAGATCATCTGAGGTCAGGCGTTCGAGAGCAGCCTGGCCAACATAGTGAAACCCCATCTCTACTAAAAAAATACAAAAAATGCAAAAAATAAAATTAGCCAGGAGTGGTGGCGCGCGCCTGCAGTCCCAGCTACGCAGGAGGCTGAGGCAGGAGAATTGCTTGAACCCAGGAGACGAGGTTGCAGTGAGCCAAAATCATGCCACTGCACTCCAGCCTGGGCAACAGAGGGAGACTCCGTCTCAAAATATATATGTATATAAATATAAATATAAGATGGCTTGAAGGACGTATAGGGGTTTGCCGAGGAGAGAGGAGGGAAGGAGCCTTCTGGGACACTGTGGCAGGTGGGGTTGGTAGAGGGAATGGGGGAGGGAGGATTGAAGTGTGAGGAGGACCTTGAATGCCAAGTGGAAACGGCTGGGCATTGCTTCCCAGTAGAATGCTGTGGTGGCTCTGGGCAATGTTAGAAGCCACTGCAGAGGGGGAGGGGGTGAGGAAGCCCACGCAGCTCTGCCTCTGCACTATCGCCAGAGACTTTATAGTTTCCATCAGCCCAAGGAATTTAGGATTCAATCCTACCATGAACTAATTAGCTATTATTTCTTTTATTTATTTATTTTCTCTTTCTTTTTTTTTTTTTTCTCTCAAAAGGAAAGTAATTAGCTGTTATTTCTTCTGACCTTTACCCATGCACACTCCAGGACACCGTCACATTTCCATTACCACCACTCACCAGTGGCACGTCATTCATTCATTCATTCAGTATACTTTATTCATTCGTTTGTTTGTTTATGTATTTATTGAGATGGAGTTTTGCTCTTATTGCCCAGGCTGGAGTGCAATAGCATGATCTCAGCTCACTGCAACCTCTACCTCCCAGGTTCAAGTGATTCCCCTGCCTCAGCCTCTCAACTAGCTGGGACTACAGGTGCACCCCACCATGCCAGGCTAATTTTTGTGTTTTTTGTAGAGACAGGGTTTCGCCATGTTGGCCAGGCTGGTCTCAAACTCCTGACCTCCAGTGATCCACCCGACTCAGCCTCTCAAAGTGCTGGGATTACAGGCGTGAGCCATCACGCCTGGCCTATTTATTTATTTTGAGACAGAGTCAAGCTCTGTTGCCCAGGCTGGAGTGCAGTGGCACAATCTCGGCTCACTGCAACCTTGGCCTCCTGGGTTCAAGTGATTCTGCTGCCTCTAGCCTCCCCAGTAGGTGGGACTACAGATGTGTGCCACTACGCCTGGCTAATTTTGTATTTTTGTAGAGATGGGGTTTCACCATGTTAGCCAGGCTGGTCGAGAACTCCTGGCCTCGAGTGATCCGCCCGCCTCCGCCTCTGAAAGTGCTGGGATTACAGGCGTGAGCCGCTGTGCCAGCTAAAGCCTTTTCATTCAGTATACTTTAATGGGAGCCTCCCTGAGTGCCGTCCTCGGCGTGGAAGTGCCCAGGGCTCTGCCAGCTCCTCCCTGGTGCAGAAATGAGGAAGCAAGATCAGTGCTGTGCTCCCACCAGGAAGGAAGCCCCAGGTCCCAGCAGACCTGCCCCAGGGTCCAGGTTGGCAGCATCTGCCCTGTACCCACTGTGCCTCTCGCTGTCCACAGCATAGCACCCTGCTCTCATGGCAGCCGCGGGCCCTGCAGGCCAGTCTCAGCCCCCCAGCATGCAGCTCTCAGGCACCAGCGCCTCACTCTGTGGCTGCGACAATGTCCTGTTCTTCAGTCTCCTTCCAGCATCACCCTGGCCCCCAGGCAGGGTCCTTCCAGCAGTGTTTCAGGGTGCAGGTGCTGATGTCTGCAGCCGTCTCTGGGATGCATCCGAAAATCAGATGAAGAAGTAGATAAGTATGTGGTAAAGTAAATATAGCAAAGTTGGACCTAATTGTTGAAGTCAGGTGGCTGTGCTGGGGGCCCAGCTCTTGCCCTGAGTTCCAAGAGAGCCAGATGGGGACCTGGAGGCAGCAGGGGGGTATGAATGCAGTGGTCAGAGGGACCTTTGAGGCCATCTGGCCCAGCCCCTGAGGCTGGCAGGTAGGGAACCAGGCCAGGAAATGGGGGGCAGCTGGCCCCGATGTCTGACCTGTGGCAGAGCAGTCGGCGGTGTTCCCCTTGCCCAGAGTCCCTGGCTGGCCACGGGGAGGGCAGCATCCCACATCTGGCCATGGACAGCTGGCCTGCCTCTCCCAGGCCCTGTCAGCTGCAGACATGCACACCCTATTCTGAGGCACTGTCTCCAAGAAGCAGCACCCAGCCTGGCCAAGTCTTCATGCCCTGCCCTGGGCTCCCGGGACTCCCTCCTGCAAAGGCCCGCACCTGTCAACACAGCTGTGGCAGGTCCAGGGCAGTTAGCACCACCCAGGTGTCCACACAAAGTCCAGAGGGTCTGGGAGAGCGGGACGAGCCAGCAGGGTCCAGGCTGGCAGGGCCACTTTCCGGAGCCCAGGTAGCAGGAGCAGGGGCTAAGGTCTCCGTCCCTCTCAGCTGGGCTGCCAGGTGGGCTGAGGGAGTGGTGGGATCCCGAATGTGTGGTTCCACAGAATGAGCAGCTCCTGTGAGACCCCAGAGGGCACAGGACCGATGTCGGCACACGGACGTGACCTTAATTCCCTTATTTTTATTTTATTTTATTTTGGACAGAGTCCTACTTTGTCACCCAGGCTGGAGTGCAGTGGCTCATTCTCGGCTCACTGCAACCTCCACTTCCTGGGTTCAAGCCATTCTTCTGCCTCAGTCTCCAGAGTAGCTGGGATTACAGGCACCCACCACCCCAGCTGGCTAATTTTTGTATTTGTAGTAGAGACGGGGTTTCACTGTGTTGGCCAGGTTGGTCTTGAACTCCTCACCTCAAGTGATCTGCCCACCTCGGCCTCCCAAAGTGCTGGGATTACAGGTGTGAGCCACTGGGCCTGGTCGTGATTCCCATGTATTAAGGCTGTGGTGCGCCGGATTCCATGTCACATGCTGCCCACACGTTGTCTTACACCTGAGAACAAACTCATGAATCAAGTTGCGTGCTGGAGAAAAAACAGAGGCTGGCCTTGCCTGAGGTTGCCGTGCAGGTGAGCCACAGAGCTAGGATTCAAGCTGGGGTCTTCCCAGCCCAGAGCCTGCCTTCCCTTAAACAGAGCAGGTGCTGGCGTCCACTAAGTGCAAGGGCTCGGCATTGTGGCTGCTGGTGGCTGTGTACTGGGCGAGAGAGCCACAGGGTGTCCCAGGGCAAAGGTTTTCAGTTTGGGTTTCAGAATGGGCCCACTGGTGGCCATGGTGGTACCCAGGGGAGACCAGTGAGAAGGCACCTCCTGCCTGCTGACAGCCCTGCCCATTTTTCTCGCCTACAGAGTCCCAGACAGCAGTTGCAAGAGGCCAGCCACCATCTCCTATGACCACGCGGAAGAGGGGCTGATGGCGAGCATTGAGCGGGAGTACTGCCGCTGAGGACAGCGCGCCCCGGCGCCCCGCCAGGCCTTGGAGGCACCTGCTGGCTGGGTCTCCCCCCGCTGGCCCAGAGCTCTAGCAGGAGCTGAGCCACCTCCAAAACACAGTCACCCCCGGATATTTCAGAGCTGACCTTTCAAATTCACTTTCAGACAGTGCTGCCCTGGGCCAGCTGCTGGCAGTCAAGGTTGCTGGGGGGGCGGCGATCAGCTGTGCGACCGGGTCAGGAGGCAGGCTGTGCTGACCCACAGGTGTGTGGGCCGGGCCGCCGGCGCCTCCTCCCCACCGCAGGGAGCCTGCCAGTTTCTTCTGGAGCCTGAAGTGTGTGCCCCTCTTGGTTGCCCGCTCTCCACAGTGGGGAGGGCTCACAAGGCCTGAATGAGACAAGCGAGCCCGTCTTGGCATCCGTGCCACAGCATTTCTGGAAGGTTCTGCTGTGGAAGGTGCACCTGTGCTGCTCCCTCAAGCCTCAGGCCCATCTCTCCAGGTGAGGCCAAGTCAGCTTAGTGCCTCTTAACTCCCCAAGGAGCAGCCAGGGGGTGCCGCTGGGCCGGGCAGCACCTGAGGTTCTGTGTGTGTGTCTAACCAGCTCCCAGCCCAGGCCCAAGCTCCGAAGCCCCCCCAACCCCCGCCACACTTTGAGGAGCGAGGGCCCCAGCTCTGATCCTAGCCCTTGACGGACTTGCAGTGGGAAGTAGGGTTCATCACTGCCTCTCTGGGCCCCAGTTTCCCTCTCTGGAAAATCAGCTCTGGCAGCTCTGGGAGGCCATCCCCAGCTCTGACAACCTGGAACTGCGCCAGTCCAGGCGGCCACGGCGGTTCCCCCGCCCTAGGTACAGCACTGCCTTCCCTGTGGGGAGCCAGCGCCCGGGTCCCACGGGGTGGAGGGGGGAGGGTCTGCCTGCCACTGGCTTTCCAGTTCTCCCTTTCACAGGCAGCCTGGCCAGTGCCTTTGGGGCTTTTAAATTCTCTTCCCGCCTGGGTGGAAGGTGGGAAACCACAGCAATGAAGCAGAAAGAGCCTTGGAATGTTCCTAGTTGCAAATGGGAAAAGTGACCTGCCCAGGACGCCCTTGGAACATGGGCAGAGCTCCAGCTGGAGGGGACGCCCGTGTGGGCCCAGGTGCAGGGACAACTCCGAGGGAGAACTTCGGGGAGAATAGCAGTCCAGGGAGGCGGGAGGCCGGCGCAGGCTCCTCCCCAGCAGCCTGAGGGCATCGGGACAGAGGGGGAAGGAGGGAACAGCGGCAGCTTCTACTGAAGCCAGTACAAGCCAGGTTATCTGGCTCGACCAGCCAGCACGGTGGCCCTCCTCACCCCCGGGCATCCTTGGTTTCCTGAGAAGAGCTCCAGCCCTCAAGTCCTGCGAACACGGCAGAGCAGGAGCGTCTCGGGAACCAACAGCCAGCTCCTTGGTACTGTCCCCAGACCCACAGGCCTGCTGTGGCCATCAGCAAACAGGCATTTCCTTGACCTTTTAATTGAGAGTGCCTTTGTCCAGCTGTTCACAGCTAGGAAACTCCAAAGTTGGAGCTTGGAGCTTGCCCCCTCAAGGGCATGGCTCAAACCCCCGCCAGAGCCGGGCGCCACTGCTCATCCAAACCCAACTGTTTCTTTTGATATAAAGATGGAAGTCATTACTATATTTTAATAATAATGCAAATACGTCTTTTAAAATAAGTTAACATTTTATTTCGTACCACCAAATGGATCAGGCTTTGAATTTAATCATGTAAATGTTTATGATTTTATTCATTTGGTTAAAAAGGAATGATTTCAATCGGTTTCCAAGAAAAAGATGATACCTCGGCATTTTCTGGTGGAAAACGCGTAATACCCTCAATGAGATCAAAGTGTTAGAGGAAAAAATAATTCAAAAATCGTCACAAGCTACGTCGATGTCAAAGTAAATGCACTTTATCAGCGCTAAGAAGTCACAGGAATTGTTCTCAGGTCTTTTAAAAAGTTTTTCCTGAATTCAGGAAAAGTGTCTTCTGAACAGCAGCTAGCCAGATAAAGCGGTGTGTGTACTGCAGCTGCAGGTGAAATAAACATTTAAAAAAAGAGCAAATAAAATGATGTGTGCCAGCCACTTGAGCCAGCCCTGTCTCTGTCCCGTGAGACGGAGGGGCTGTGCCTGGAAGTGGAGGGTGGTCGTCGCTGCAGCCTGCGGCCCGGCCCGAGCCTGTCCCGGTGCCTCCCATGTGCCAGGCACCACCTCAGGCATCTTCCTGGCTGCCTCAAGTTGCATCTGAGCCTCAGCATCCTGCTTAGCACTGCATGGGGCATTTGCTCCCTCTCCTGCTCAGAACCGCATGGGGGATTTGCTTACTGCCAGGGTAGGACTGTGGCTGGAATTGAGGCAGAAAGAAAAACACCTCAAAGGCAAAAATGACGCCTGTTACTGCCTGGGAGTCTTAAGTGACCACAAAAGTATCTCCTGGCTTATTTTATTTTATTTTATTTTTCTTTTGAGACGGAGTCTTGTTCTGTCGCCCACGCTGGAGTGCCATGGTGCTATCTCGCCTCACTGCAACCTGTGCCTCTTGGCTTCAAGCAATTATCCTGCCTCAACCTTCGAGTAGCCGGGACTACGAGCATGCACCACAACGCTCAGCTAATTTTTTTTGTACTTTTAGTAGAGACAGGGTTTCACTATGTTGACCAGGCTGGTCTCAAACTCCTAACCTTGTGATCCACCTGCCTTGGCCTCCCAAAGTACTGGGATTACAGGCGTGAGCCACCGTGTCTGGCTGTGTGTCTCCCGGTTTCTGTATCATGAGAGTTCCTTGGAGATGCTACAAAGCCCCAGGAACTGAGAAAACACTGTCCACCCTCAGGTCTGAGAAATGCTGGGTGTGTTTTCTTGAGGAAGAAGCAGAGTCCCGCTGTTGCCCTCCTCCTGACACGTGCATTCCCAAGCCTCTCCTCACAGGCTCGTGGGCTCCTGGCCCCGCACAGGCAGGGGCCTCCTTCCCCGGCTGCTGTTGGCTCAGGCTCCCCGCACCTCCCTGAGATGGCTGTTTCTAAGACACTTTCCTTTGCTGTTCCAAAGACCTAGGGCCGCTTGTCCTCATGGAATGCTGCACCTGCTCACACATGGTGCCAGCACACCTGCTGCTGACGTTGATTGGTAGACCAGTGAGAGCACTCTCTGTTCCCAGGGGTGGGGCACACATGTGCACGTGTGAGCATTTGGGAGAGCTTAAGGCTGTTGAAGAAGTGTAGCCAAGTGCCCCACGGAAGAGAGAATCCGTGGCTTTTTTTTTCTGTTTCCTTTCTGGCAATAATGAGGCAGGAGAAAAGTATTCCCAGTTGCCATGAGGAGGATAAATCACATTTGCGGCTGTGGCGGCTAGCTCCCTCTAGGAGGTGGCTCTGTAATCAGACCTGTTGTGTGGTGAGGGTCTGGACCCCCTAGGGACAAATCAGACCTTCAGAGGTGGGCAGGGGCTGTGTTGACTGGGGATATGGCAGCCTTTAGTTTCTTTCTTTGCTTTTTTCTTTTTTTGTTTTTTGTGCCTTTAGTTTCAATAGTTAGGAAGGAAAAGAAGGAAGGAGACCCAGACCACTCCTTTTTGGGGGTATTGATCTGTGGGAAAGAAAGGTGGCAATTTAAGTCCACAAGAGGTGACATCTGACCAGCACCTTTGTGTGGCTGGGGGCCTTGGGATGTGGCCACATGGGAGACAAAGGGCGGGCCCTGAAACCTGCACCCCCTGAGAAAGGAGCGTGTGGCTACCTGTGGTGCTGAGGGGACAAGTATATTCTTTTGTGATCTTGGCCTCCACCAAGGCCATGGGCCTGCAGCCAGTTAACAGTGACATGATGTGGCAGCAGGAACTCAGCAGCAGCTTGGACGTCACAGCTCTGTTCCTAGAGAGTAGAAGTTAGAAGGTCCCAACTTGGAGGCCAGGTGCAGTGGCTCCCACCTTTAATCCAAGCACTTTGGAGGCTGGGGCAGGAGGATCGCTTGAACCCAGGAGTTTGAGACCATCCTGGGCAGCATGGTGAAACCCAGTTTCTACAAAAAATACAAAAATTAGCCGGACGTGGTGGCACACGCCTGTAGTCCCAGCTACTCAGGAGGCTGAGGTGGGAGGATCTCTTGAGCCTGGGAGCTGGAGGTTGCAGTGAGCTGTGCTTGTGCCACTGCACTCCAGCCTGGCCAACAGAGCAAGACCCTATCTCAAAAAAAGAAAAAGTCCCATCTTTGGCTAAGTAAACCCTGGAGGCTTAAAATAATTTGTGGGAAATGGGAGAAACTGCAGTGGGAGAGACTGAATTTCCTACTAATCTGGCAGGAGAGGATTTGAGTGAAACATAAAAATACTACGACCTTACTCGCACAGGTTCCAGAAACATCTTTTTAAAGATTTAGGCAGCAACTACTTGAAGAGGGTACTGCATGCCGGACTCTTGAGGCATACAAAGTCAAGGTGACTAAGGAATGAGCGAGGTATGGAGGAAGCACGGACGGTGCCTCCGGGAATCTGTGCTCGTCCGATTTGTGCAGACGAGTCAGCGGTCAGACCCAAGGCCCAAGTTGTTCTCCCCTGCCTGGAGGACATGGAGGGTGGAAGTAGCCAGGCTTCCCTCTGCAGCGAGAGCTCAGGTGGGCTGTGGAGAGCCGGGCAAGAGCCCAGGGTTCGAGGGAGGAGACCCAGACACCAGGCTTGACTTCACGCCACTACCAACCATGTGCCCTCTGGGATCTTAGCTTCCTGCTCTGTTCAAGGCGCAGCACACACCTGTTCCTCCCACCTCCCTAGATGACAAATGACCTACTGAGTCCTCTGTGCACTACAAAGCTCATGTGATGGCGGTGGGGACTCCTTCTGTCTTGTAGAAGGAGAATCGTGAGCGGGGGGCCCTGGCGACCTCTTGGAGTAGCAGGTGCACTGGACTGCGCCTGTAGGGAATGCAGTCTCATATGAAGCTGGCAATAGGGCCTGGCCCAGCAAACCATGGGGCTCAGCTGGGGTTCGGGGCCAGGTATACCAAGAGATGCACTGTTCCTTAGGGTCTCCCCTGCCCTGAGACTATAAATGAGGGTCTTGGTGCCCAGCCCTGCCCCATACACTGCCGGAGCTCCAGGGACTTTTGTATTCCCTGCATAAGTGTTTCTGAGGTTTCCTCAGAGGTGTCTCTATGGAGTCACGGTCACCTGAGGGGGGAGCTTCAGCACCCCGGGGCCTCGCACGTGCCTCTGGGCTCTGGAAGTGCAGCTGCCCAACCCAGGGCCCCAGGGCCTTTGGGGCACATGCCACTGCCTCTGTGGAGCTGTGGTAGGGGTGTCCCACAAAAAAACTGCCCAGGCTCCTTGTGTTACAACTCTTTTAGTTCCCACACGCAGAGCGAGGTGAGCATGAGTCCAGGACCTGCCCCCACAAGCCTGGTGGCACAGGCAGAATCAAGGTGATTCTGACACCTTGACAGCACAGGGTGCCCCAGCCCTCTGTCCCATCTCTGTTATCCTGCTTGTTGCTCTAAATGTTCATCATGTCTTTTTTTATTTTTTTGAGACAGAGTCTTGCTCTGTCGTCCAGGCTGGAGTGCAGTGGCACAATCTTGGCTCACTGCAACCTCTGCCTCCTGAGTTCAAGTGATTCTCCTGCCTCAGCCTTCTGAGTAGCTGGGATTACAGGTACACACCATCATACCCAGCTAATTTTTGTATTTTCAGTAGAGACGGGGTTTCATCATGTTGGTCAGGTTGGACTCAAACTCCTGACCTTGTGATCTGCCCACCTCGGCCTCCCAAAGTGCTGAGATTACAGGCATGAGCCACCATGCCCAGGCCGTTCATCATGTCTTACCCACTCAAGTATGAGCTCTTTAGGGGCAGGAACTGTGATAATTGATCTTTGAGTTTCTGACCCAACACAGCAGTATTCATTAAATGCTTGTTGGATGGATGGATAGATGGATGGATGGGTGAGTGGATGGATGAGTGGGTGAATAGGTGGGTGAGTGGTTGGATGAATAGAAGAATGCATGGTTAGATAGTTGGGCGGGTAGATGGGTGTGTGGATAGGTAGGTGAGTGGTTGGAAGGATAGAAAAATGGGTGGACAGATGATGGGTGGTTGGATGGATGCGTGGGTGGATGGGTGGGTGAGTGGTTGGATGGGTAGATGAATGGATAGATGAATTGGTGGGTAGGATGGGTGGGTGGATGGATAGGTGGGTAGATGAATGGGTAGGTGGATGGATGGGTGGGTGGATGGATGGATGGGTGGGTGGATGGATGGATAGATGGGTGATGGGTGGGTAGATGGATAGGTGGATGAGTGGTTGGACAGATAGATGAATGGATAGATGGATGGGTAGTTGGATGGATGCGTGGGTGGATGGATGGATGGGTGGGTGGATGGGTGGATGAGTGGTTGGATGGATAGAAGAATGGGTGGATGGATGATGGGTGGTTGGATGGATGGGTGGGTGGTTGGATGGATAGATGAATAGATAGATCAATTGGTGGGTAGAAGGATGGGTGGATGGGTGGATAGGTGGGTAGATGAATCAGTGGTGGATGGATGGGTGGCTGGATGGGTGGCTGGATGAATGGATAGATGGATGGATGGGTGGATGAGTGGTTGGATGGATAGAAGAATGGGTGGATAGATGGGTGGTTGGATGGATGGGTGGGTGGGTAGATGGGTAGGTGGGTGGTTGGATGGACAGAAGAATGGGTGGGTGGATGGATGGATGGATGGATGAATGGACAGATGGATAGATGGATGGATGGGTGGATGAGTGGTTGGATGGATAGAAGAATGGGTGGATAGATGATGGTTGATTGCCTGGATGGGTGGGTGGGTAGATGGGTAGGTGGGTGGTTGGATGGATAGAAGAATGCGTGGATGGATGATAGCTGGTTGGATGGATGAGTGGGTGGATGGGTAGATGGGTGGGCGGATGAGTGGATGTGATATAATTCTTGTAATAGAACAGCTTATATTTTAGCAGGTAAACTAGATTTGCAATAAATGAAGTTCAGTAAAATCTGTCATGGTTTTACTAGTGGTCAAAATCTCTCATTTCATAGGATTCTAGAGGAGGGAGCCAGGGAAATCTTCCCAGAGGTCGCCACATGAGAGCTCAGTAGTGAGAGCTGAGGCGGTGCCATCAGCGCTTGGCTTCCAGTGCTCCATCCCATTGCTACCTGCTTATATATGTGCGTCTTCCCCCGGCACTTGGCTTATACTCTCTTGTGTCTTCTCTCTCATTTTTCATGTCCAATCTGTCCTCTCTGGAACGTGCTAGGCTTCTTACGAGGAAAGGCAAGAGGACTTTGAGAGTGAACTTCCCTAACTGGGAGGTGACTGAGTGTGTGTGTCTCACACCTCTGGATTGGGCCAGGCTCACTCCCAGGATGTGGCCCAACTGTTAGGAAAATGTCTCAAGTTCCTCATTTTAAAAATCCTGAAACAAAGAGGTAGGTTGAAAGTAAAAGAATACTGATGTCATGGCCAGAAAGACATTACGAACCTTGGTGACAACACCCAGAGAGCAGCAGCTACACAGTCACAAAGCTGGGGGTCATAGGCTTGTGGCTGCCACCCCAAGACAAAAGGGGTTGGAATTGGAGGGACTTTTCCAGGTGAAATGATGAATGCAAAGGCCATTAGTATTTACCGGCCCCTGCCATTTCTTCGCCTGCGCACGCATATACGCATACACATACACCCATGTGGGTGATAAGATCTCTGCAAACTTCTCCACGGTCACCTCCCGGATGGGTGACTCTAGAAGGCAGTAGGCCCTTTCTCAGAGAGGCACACACAGCTGGAGCCCTCCCATGTGGTGGACACAGGACCACTTGGCCCCAGCACTTGGGAAGCCTCATCCCCCACCACTCCCCACAGGCTGTTCATCCAGGAGCCCAGGACCAGAAACCAACAGCTCTGCTCATCCCTGCCACGACATTCCTGGGCAGGGGCTTGGATTCCAGTGCAAAGAATGGCATCCATTCTGACACATGTTCAGCGCCCGCCCCAGGCCAGGCAGTGTGAAGGCCCAGGGATGCAGCAGTGGGGAGAGCTCTTGTCCTCATGGTAACGATACCCTGGAGCATTTACTGAACATACTTGGTGGATTACAGTAAACTCTTCCACACACCCTCTTCCTCTCACCCCACTGTGGGGCAAGCATTATTAGCCCAAGTGCACAAAGAAGTAAGTAGTGGAGCCTGGATTCAGTTACCGATTTTTTGGTTCCAAGTCCAGTAGTCTTTCCAGGATCTCGCAGCCAATTCAAAGATTTAGGGTAAATTTGAGAAAGTGCTAAAAAGGAGAACAGAGTGTGGGCTGAGAAGCAGAAGTGTGGTCGGGTGGGGCCTGGAGGCTTGGGGTGCGCTGCTCCTAGTGGGTGACACACAGCACCTGGAGGTGGGTGCTGGGGTCACAGCCGAGAGAGTTGGCTGGGGACCCTTGCAGGCCTTTCAGGAATTGCATTCTGCCTGAAGGGAGCTACCTTGCCCAAGGTGAGGCCTCCCCTGGGGCAGCCCTCATCTGATGACAAAGGCAGCGCTCCTTGCCCTTGTCTGGGGCCCCTTTGCAGGGCCTCCTGGTGCCAGAGCTCCCGTGGGGCCGCTTCCGTGGCACTGGTTTTGCAGTTCACTTTCTCTTGGGTGCAGTCCTCGTCTCTTGCTTCCTTACAGGTACTGGTCCTGGAAGTCTCACCCAGTAAATGTCCTGTGGGCAAATCTGTCTCAAGGATCTCTTTCCAGGGAACCTGATCCGAGACATACTGCCATCATCATCATCTGACAAAAGAGCTAGTGGGTCCAGTGGGAAGAGCGACCATGTGCTGTTGGTTCTCCAAGGGGGACCCCTCGCCGACCCCGGGCAGTGAGGCGAGTACAGCTGCAGCAGGAGGTGCGGTCAGGCGAGGCCAAGGGGGCCTTGTGACTGGCTTTTCTTGGCAAGAGACGGAAAGCCACTAGGGGTTTCAGGCAGAGCGAAATCACCTGACATTTCTCCATAGCATCAGTGGCTGGTGAGCGCAGACTGGAGGGGGTCCGAGCAGAAGCGGGGAGGGGTGGGCTTAATCCGGGAGACACACGATGGTGAATCGGAGGTAACACAATTATTTATGGCAAGCCTCCTCTCCCTGCCCTTGCAGTCTCTAGTCACTTTTTCCGCTTATAGATTTTGCTTGCCAGCCCCAGAAAGATGGCTGGGGGCAGGGGCGCCGCGTACTGTACCATGAGATCCACAATGTGGCCGTGGCCGTCTTCCTATTGCAAGAACACAGCCGGCAGAACCAGCTCCTCGCGTAGTGCCTTCACCCGGGCCACCTGCTCGGCCTCCTTCTGCCTGCAGTTTTCCTGTAGTATCTGCTTAGTGTTCCGAGTGGTCCTGCAGACACTGAACCACCAGCCAGCTGCATTTGTGGCCCTGGATGTCAGTGCCAACTTTGCTGGTCACACTGGGATCCCCAGAGAGGTCGAGATGATCATCCTCAATCTGAAAGGACTCTCCCGTCTCCAGCAGGATCTTCCTGGCTGCAGCTCCAGCACGGCAGGAGTAGAAGGTGGTCTTGTATTTGACAGTAGGTTTGTACCTCTTTTTTTTCTGAGATAATCTCACTCTGTTGAGGCTGGAATGCAGTGTCATGATCTCAGCTCACTGTAGCCTCCGCCTCCCAGATTCAAATGATTCTCCAGTCTTAGCCTCCCGAGTAGCTGGGACTACAGGAGCATGCCACCACGCCTGGCTAATTTTTTGTGTTTTTAGTGTAGACGGGGTTTCACCATGTTAGCCAGGATGGTCTCGATCTCCTGACCTCATGATCCACCAGTCTCGCCCTCCCAAAGGGCTGGGATTACAGGTGTGAGCCACTGCGCCCGGCCAGATTTGTACATCTTTTCAGTGAATCCACCAAGATCCACATCGCCCTGGGGGGCTGTGTGAGGTCCAGCTTCTGCCCAATCTCAGTCTGATAGGAACTCTGCAGAAGTGCTCCATCAGGCTCAGGTAATAGGGCTGCTCCTGGCAATAGGCAGTAGGTACATGCATAGCATCACTGATAGCATCTAAACTAACTTCTGCTGAGGAGTCAGCAGATCTGCCCCTGGCTAGTGAGGGCTGAGTCCATTATGTCATCTGCCACCAGGAAGAGAGCTTGCAGCACTCCCACACAGCAGCCCACAGTCGGGCTCACTGGAGACTATGGGTATCCTGTTTCCTCGGCACCACCAGCTCCCAGAATGCTACGAGCACCGTCCAGCCCTGGTGACACTTGCCTCCAATGGCACTGGAGGACCTCCTGGAGCCGGGCAATAGTATCTCCTGTCTCTGGGTGCCCCTCCTCATCCCCAGTTAGCACCCGAACCGTCTGGGAAAAGTGCGGAATGAAATCCTGCTTTTCTTGGGCATAAACATCTATTTCTGGTCTCCATGCATTCTGAGGAAGAGGAAAGGGCTCTGTTCCTGGACACGGGTTCCTCCTCCATGATGCTGGATGTTTTAAAAGAAGTCAAGGACTGTGATGGGATGTGGGGTGAAAGAAGGGTTCAAGTCTTGCAAGGATGTATGCACTCTTCTTTTTAAAGACAATGGGGTCTGGCCAGGCACGATGGCTCACGCCTGTAATCCAAGCACTTTGGGAGGCCAAGACAGGCAGATTACAAGGTCAGGTGAACGTTCAAGACCAGCCTGACCAACATGGTGAAACCCCGTCTCTACTAAAAATACAAAAATTAGCCAGGCGTGTAATCCCAGCTACTCAGGAGACTGAGGCAGGAGAATCGCTTGAATCTGGAAGGCAGAGATTGCAGTGAGCTGAGATCGCATCACTGCGCACTCCAGCCTGGGCAACAGAGCGAGACTCCATCTCAAAAGCAAGCAAACAAAAGACAACAGGGTCAGTTGTGAGAATTGTAGGGTCAAGTGAGGAGAAGATGAGTCACTTGGTAATTTAAGTGTGCAATGCTAACTGATCAATGCCAAGTAGACAGGTGGATATAGGGATGCCAACTCAGGAGAGAAGTGCAAAGGAGAGCCCCTCGGGGGTGTTTCTGGTAGAGATGCTGTTTTAATCTGAGTGGTGAGGCTGGGAAACATCACCAAGGGACTGCAGCATAAGAACTTAAGGCAGGCAGATGAGGGCCGGCCAAGCACAAACCCCGAGGTGGAGGGAGGGCAGGGGCAGGTGGCCTTAAGGGCACCACCAGCTCCAGCCGATGCCACTGACAGGCCTGAGAATTGAGCCCACGAAAGCCCTGAGCACACCCCGGGAGCTCCTTCAGTGGTGTGGATGCAAGGCCCCCTTAGAGGGTTGGAGACAATGTGCAGAGCCAGAGTGGAGCCTGCGCTCCAGGACGTGCTTTGTAACCCTGGGCTGGGGAGGAAGTATGCAAGAGACTTCCAAGCACTTCTTCCACACTGGCTGGAAAACTACTTCGAATTCTACCTCTTTGCAGCCACCCCCGGCACAGGAAGGGAGTGAGCACCGAGGGCAACAGGGTTACCCGGCACACACCTGGGTCTGCCAGAGCGGCCACTTCACAAGTTGGCTTTTTGAGACAGCGTTTTGCTCTGTCGCCCAGGCTAGGCTGCAGTGGTGTGATCATAGCTCACAGTCTCCTCCAATTCCTGGGCTCAAGGGATCCTCCTGCCTCAACTCGCCGAAGTGCTGGGATTGCAGGGGTGAGCCACCACACCTGGCTCTCTTCACCCATTTCTTTCAGAAAGAACCCTCCAAGGAACCCAAAGAAACAGAATAAAACCCCAGAAAACAAAGAGGAGAGATTAGTCTGGGCCAATACACAATGAATTTTATAGACTCTTCCAAATAGTCTCTAGTTATAGTTATGACACAGGACACACATCCAGTTTAAAACCAAGTTTTATATGATTCAAAGAAAAGTTACATTACACATACTCATTTAAATAATAAGTCAAAGTCTGTTACATAAAACATAATTATGAAACAATTTAAGTCTTACAATTCAAACTACTTAAAAGGCTCAAAGTCACAAAAGATTAAGCAAAACTGCTCAGGCAATAAAGTGCACTAGGGGAGCCTGCCTCTCCAGCGGCCTCCAGCGCCCAGAGCCGCCACTGAGGGGCTCCGTGAAGAATCCACACACAAGGGTAACTGTTCTGCTGCTTAGAACAGTTTTCAGACAGGAACTTTTTCCAACTTAAAACCTTTCAACAGACAAATGGAGGGGGAAGGAAGATGGTTTAAAGAAAGCATTTCCAAATGTAATCAGGACATGGAAGTGTAAATTTAAACCATTTTCAACATGTATCTCTTTTTTAGAACTAGCACTACTTGGAGAATGTTCTGTGATAAGCAACCAAATACTCAAAGACCTTATCCACCAGAATACTAGCAGGACTAACATTACTCTGCATGTCATAATGAAGAAAAATATCCAAATTTGATGCCATTTGTAGCGTAGTGGGAAATGCTGATGCCGATTTGGATGAGTGGAAGGAAGGACTGGGTGATGAGGAAACAGGAACTATGCACGCTGTGGCTCTCCCGCAGCTGCACTGCCTCATGACGACAGGACTCACCTGCGGGAGTGTCCAAACACGTGGAAACCTCCTGAAAACATACACATTTGTGTCAAATAACAGCTGATACTAAGGGGCAAGTTAATGGGTACCAAGTAACACACAGTGAATGACCAGGTGGGGATTTTATCAGACTACAAAGAACAAAACACAAAACCTCATTTTATTCAATATTTCACCTTACCATCATTTTAATAAAGATGACTGCCAAATTAACCAGCAGAGACAAAATCTAAATACATACTGCACAATCAAAAAATATTCCCAGGCTACCAAATTAGTACAGCATTCTGTATGCTCCTACACTTATTCCATTGCTTGAACTTCCACTGTTTAGCAAGAACCAGTGTCAGTGGCTTCTGGAACGCAGGCGGCCACATTCTCTTGTTTATCTAGCATATGTGCTCACACCGTTTAAAAGTGTCATCCATCATCTATTTTCTAGGTAGACTGTAAAACATACCATTCCAAGTAATTTTGTTTGATCAAAACAATTTCCTTCAAACAAAAGGGCCAGGCATGGTGGCTCACGCTTGTAATCCCAGCACTTTGGGAGGCCAAGGCGGGCGGATCATGAGGTCAAGAGATTGAGACCATGGTGAAACCCCGTATCCACTAAAAAATACAAAAATTAGCTGGGCATAGTGGCGTGCGCCTGTGGTCCCAGTTACTCAGGAGGCTGAGGCAGAAGAATTGCTTGAACCCGGGAGGCGGAGGTTACAGTGAGCCGAGATTGTGCCACTGCACTCCAGTCTGGGCAACAGAGCAAGACTGTCTCAAAAAAAAAAAAAAAAGAACAAAAGGGCAGTTGGGTAGTATTACTGCCATTTAGCGTAACTTGCATTTCCTCGAGTTTCTAGTATTTGGTAAATAACAGAAGCAGAACCTTGGCACTGCCTGCCTGCACATGCATCTCACCCTCGGCTAAGCTGTTCTCTAGTGGAAAGTTCATCCAACTAATACAGACACTTCCTTTTTCACTGAGAAGTTACTCTACCCACAGTATAGTAGGGACAAGGCCACAGCAAAACAAGTCAACTGACGATCAACAAATCGGCTGGATTTGAGTGTTTATCTTTTATGGTGTTTTAGGTACAAACAAGAAACTCAATGGTTTGCTTTCGGCAGAGCCATGGCCAAGACGATTACACACAGACTACAGCCTACAGCAGCGCCTGCTCCCTGGGATGTGCTCAGTGGCTCATGTTACTTTCTGGGGTACATCCTTCACAAGACGCACCACGGACACAACTCACTAGTTCTAGTCAACCACACTTGCAGTTCTTGGGTGACAGGAATGGCTGCCTAGAATTTCCTTGAAAATATTATGAAAAAGCTGATTGCAAAATTTATTTTTCCCTTTTAAGAGGCCCTTATTCAACCAGTTCCAATTCCAAAAAATCTAAAAAGGCCAGATAATCTGTGATTTTTTTTTGGTGGAGTAACATGTCAAATTTACTAAAACGGGTCATCATAAAAAACTGTTATTAAATACTGAAAAGAAGGCTGCAAAATGATCTATCTAGAAACTGGTGATTTGAGCACCAACAATATAAATATTTTTATAAAAAACAGTATAAAAATTAGTACCCTGTCTTATTTCTACAAAACATCAATAGAAAGTTGTAAAAATCCAGATTTTGTAAACTTTATTGCCGAAATATTTGTCTGAATGCTGGTGATGTTGGTTATCAAATTTTCTACCATTTCTTTAAAAAAAAAAACAACAAAACACTTCTGAAACTACAAAACATATTGAACAGGGTCCCAAGTGGAAAAGTTAACACACCTTCATCAAAATCAGCTCCCCGATCTTCCTGAGCCCCAAAACTATTTTTTTTTGGGGTGAGGCAATGGGAAAGCAATCCGTCAGTTCCATTCCTGAAAACAGGCTTTTAAAAACCCCGTAACATCCTAGTGGACCTTTCAGGTGGAGGCTGGCGTGGTCACAAGCAGGTTCTCCGGGCTCTCTGCACAGGCGATTCTGTTCAGCTTGCCAACCTCTGCCTGCCAGCCTGGGATCTTCTTGGTCGTCATGTGGCGGCGGGCATGCTTCGTCAGGTGGTCACTGCGCATGAAACGCCGGTCACACACAGGGCACACAAATTTCTTCTCCCCTGTGTGAGTTCTGCGGTGGCGAGACAGCTCATCCGAACGAGCAAACTTCTTATCACAGCCGTCCCAGCTGCAGCTGAAAGGCTTCTCCCCTAAGTGTGAGAAAACACATGCCGAAGAGAAAGGAGATGCTGAGCACCTTATGCAAGGGGTTACTTCATGTCAATTTAAAATCATGTTCATCAAGCTCACAAGAAAGCAATGTCTTCTTATTCTGGAACTGTGGGAAACCCCCCATATAGGCACCGAGGAATAAAAGCTAAGCAAAACCCTGGCACAGTTAGGGCTTAAAGAATATCTCACTTTATAGTGTTACTACTCAGCAATTTCCTTTTATATAATCCTTTATATAATCATATATTAGTTTATAGAATTAGGGCTTAAAGAATTCGTTTATATAATCCTCTACATATAATCATATAATAGTTGATAGTATGAGTGCCTAAAGAATATTTCCCTACATATATATAAAATTATATTTTAGCTCATAATCGGAGGAATGCCTAAAGTGGACACAGTACAGAGCATGAATTGAGGAATAAGTAGCTTATAATCGGAGGAATGTCTAGAGCAGACACAGTGCAGAGCATAATTTAAGAGAAAAAGTTATACCAGGACAAGAATCCATAGCCCAGGTGGCAACGTGCAGTATTGTAAAGATACCCGCTGTACGGCAGGCTTCGGGCAAAAGCCACTCCTCCTAAAGGAGTTGCAGGAGCTTGCTCCAGTCTCGTGGAAGGCTGCTCTCAGAACAGCAATCCACCTTGGTAACTGCAAACTTTATCAGCTCTTGCTACTATGCTGCTCAAAAAGCATCTTCCCATAAAACTCACTGGAAGCTGCCAGAAGGTGGCGGTAGCCTTAACAGCTCTGTCACTGCTATGTGACTTAAAATATCCTCCTATAAATCTTCTTAAAAGTAGCTTGCCCATAGATAAAAGTATTGCACACTGCACCCTCTTCACTGCGCATGGCCCACCTTCAAGCCTCAGTGACCTAATGGGGGTGGACCCCTTACTGCACATGGCCCTTGCCTTCATGGGAACGGGCCCCTTGCGCATTGTCCACCTCCTGACCTAGGTGACATAATGGGGGTGGACTCCATGTTTTATTGCTGACGACCCAATCACTATCCTTAAAGATGATTTCACTCACTGCCCTGCCCCCTAACCTATACACAATACATACTCATGCTTCTGGACATTCGGGGCCTCGCCTAACTCCGCTTATAGGTGGCGTGGCCTCCTAAGCCCAGCTGTGTTTTCCTTGTACTTCTGTGTCCCGTCTCTTTATTTCTCAGATCCTGCGCCTCAGCACAGCATAAGGGACACCCCACGGCCCTGTGGGGCCATCAGCCCTACATGGAACTGGATGATCTGGGTCAAGAAACCCTCCATAAGGCATTTATTCCTGCCACACTTAACATGCAGTATGTTGTTGGCACCCAATGATTTCATGCTAATCTTTCAAAATATATTTAAAACTAAAAATAAATCAAGCCAAGTACAAGCACAGTGGCTCATGTCTATAATCCCAGCACTTTGGGAGGCTGGGAGGATCAGTTGAGGCCAGGAGTTCCAGACCAGCCTGGCCAACAAAGTAAGGCCTGTCTTTACCAAAAATAAAAATTAATTAAAAATGTAGCATCGTGCACCAAAATCTCAGAAACCACCACTAAGGAACTCATTCACGTAACCAACTACTACCTGTATCCCAATAACTTATGGAAAAATAAAGAAAAAAAAATGTAGCATCCATTCACTCTACCTTACTCCAATTTAAAGGCCTCAGGTTGGTAGGAATATATATAAAAAGTGGTCTTAGCCAAGGGAAACTTGCCCAGTTTTTACTTCTCATGAAAACTCCAAGTTTACAAAATGGCACAGAAGGGGATTCTTCAGAACTCTTAGCTTATTTATTTATCAGGTAGAATCTCACTCATCACCAGGCTGGCGTGATCTTGGCTCACTGCAACCTCCACCTCCCAGGTTCAGGTGATTCTCCTGCCTCAGCCTCCTGAGTATCTAGGATTACAGGCACGCACCACCACACCCAGCTAATTTTTGTATTTTTAGTAGTGATAGGGGTTTCACCATGTTGGCCAAGTTGGTCTCAAACTCCTGACCTCGTGATCTGCCCACCTCAGCCTCCCAAAGTGCTGGGGTTACAGGTGTGAGCCACTGTGCCCGGCCAGTTATTTAATTGGAAGTACTTTAGGAAACATGGAAGAAGCTTGTTTTTTTTTTTTTTTTGAAACGGGAGTTTACCTCTTGTTACCCAGGCTGGAGTGCAATGGCGCGATCTCGGCTCACCGCAACCTCCGCCTCCTGGGTTCAGGCAATTCTCCTGCCTCAGTCTCCTGAGTAGCTGGGATTACAGGCACGCGCCACCATGCCCAGCTAATGTTTTGTATTTTTAGTAGAGACGGGGTTTCACCATGTTGACCAGGATGGTCTCGATCTCTTGACCTCGTGATCCACCCGCCTTGGCCTCCCAAAGTGCTGGGATTACAGGCTTGAGCCACCGCGCCCGGCCCAGAAGCTTGTTTTAATCACTGTAAGTCACTCTGTCAGTTACTTTACCAAGGAAAACTGAATAAACAGCAAAACCTCCTTCAGTCACCTCCCCAAACTTGGAAGCTGTGCTCTGGTGTGATGTGAAGTTCCCCTGGAAAGCCCTGGTGAAATGTGGGGCTCACCAAGTCAACAAGCCCATTAAGAGAGGCATGCAGGTCAACTCCACCAGAAGCACCGGTTCCCTGATACAGTCCCCATGTCCATCTGCCGTGCAAACGACCAACCCTCATTTACTAACTAGTGTCATGCCCTTGTATCAAGCACCAGGAGTATATCCAGGTGAGATAAATACATGAGTAACTAAAAAGCAAAGGGAGAATGTGGCAAGACCTACAATAAACGACCAGGGCCAAAGAAGAAAGGAAGATAAGGAAACCAGCTAATAACTAATTCTGGGGAGGCCCTTGGAGGCTCTCGGTAAGTAGAGACGGACAGAGGGCTGAAGGGGAGGGTGGACATATGGAACAGAAGGTTGGAAGGCTGTTTCTGCATGGGCAGAGGCAAGTACTTCATGGCCAAGTTTGGCCTTATCATGGAAGGAAACAGCCACTCGGTAGAATGGAGGAGCAGGAGAGTTCCTCTTACAGTGTCTGAACCCCAGACGGCACTTCATTCTCCACGTGGAGGCCACCATGATCAGAGCAACAGAACACAAACTCACAGAACACCTGAGAAACGGTGCCCTCACCTACTAGAGCCATTCTATCCAGCAACACCCAGACCACTGGTGGGTGGCAGGGAAACCACAGGTCCCATGGAGCTATTTAAACTTCAAGTATTAAAAAGTGTAAAATTCAGTTCCTTGGGCACACTAGCCACACTTCAAATGTGAGCAGGCAGTGGCTAAAGGACAGACAGCAAACATTTCCATCATCGCAGAAAATTCAATTGGACAGAGCTGGTTATACAACAGATCATTAGGTCAGCAGAGTGTCTTGTGCAACTTACTTTAAATTAAAAACTACTTTCAGAGGTAAGAAAACTATACTCTTTAAAAAAATATTTTAGAATTTTAACTTTAATATAGTTTGGCCAGACCTTCCCACAATGAACATAAGTCACATTGATAAGATATATTTACTGAACGTGAATGCATGTTCTCTTAAAAATAAATAAATAAAAATAAAACATCCACTGCAATGTGAACAGAAGGGGGCACTGTGAGTCACTCTAAAAGCTCCCGAAAGACACCATCACAGTACTAGACTACATTTTCTCTCCAGGGTGAGCAGCTGGCGCTGTCTGCAAACTCCTGAAGGCTGTGCTCACCCTTACAGGATTGTGCAGGCTTTTCAGAACCAAAGAAAAAGCCACACTTCCTCCTTCACCAGGGGTTCTCATGATACCCTCCCACCCAAAGGCGGCTCCAGGTGTGCTTCCTAACCACACGGTCTGCTGTGCCCAATGTCCTACCTGCCCTGGTGCTTACCTGTGTGAGTGCGAAGATGAGCCTTGAGGTGGGAACTTTTGAAGTAGGTCTTCTGGCAACCTGGGAAGGTGCAAACGTAGTTCCTCCTTCGGGAAAAGTCTACCTGAGGGACACAGTTTTGGCTAGAGGCGATGAACACTGGCGCAGGGGCGAGGGGCAACAACTTGGTATTCCCTGAAGCCAGGACGCTGGCCGCACAGGGGGCAGGCGGAGGGAGGGCGCCCTGGGGCAGGACCAGCATCACAGCTCCCTGAGGCACAGGAGGTCCCAGGAATACAGGTTGCGGAGCTGGAGCAGCCTGGGCTAGGATGGGTCTCACAGTCCCCACAGACAACTGGGGAGGCGGCTTCAAAAAAGCTGAAAACATGCCACTCTGTCCAGTCACAGGGATCATTTGGCAAAGGACAGGGGGAGCAGGGACAGAAATCAGAGGGGTGGTTTTCCTGGGCAGGTCATTTTCGTAATTCTTTGGTGAGCAAGTCTGCATTGCACCAGGCCACCCTGCCTGCTGGCCTCTGTCAGTGGGGATCAGGCCACCGGGCTTGTGCAAGCAAGGCTGACAGGACACTGCGTTAGTGCTGAGTAAACAGTCTGTGAGGTGTGTATCCTGCAAAGTTTCAAAGTGTCCCAAAAGCTGCTCTTCTCCTCTGCTGTCAGAAAGCTGGCCATCTGGAGTCTGCGTGGCGGGAAAGCAGGCAGGAGCAGGGCTCTCCCCAGTGTGTCGGATCACGCTGGTCCCCACGGCCCTGCACGGAGAGCTGGGTACTGGCTCCAAACCTGGCAGGCCCCTCTCCACCCCCCCATTCAGTGCTCTGGCCACCACAGCAGAGGAATGGAGGGTGGCCATGGCTGTGAATGCTTTGGAATCTGTTACTTGGGAAGAAACAGGTGTCCTTGTCGATGGCTCCACGAAATCAGGGCTCTGAGGAGGAGTTATGCACTTAAAAAAAAAAAAAGTACCATGTGAAAAGGCTGCTTTAAATTTTACAAGGGGTTTAATTGATCACAATGCTCCCAATACCTTTACATAAAATAATCTAGAGACTCAGCTAAGCCTGTTTTCAATGCCCCAGTGGCTTTCAAGGCTGCATGGGGCACTTCACTTTCTCAGCTTCTTCCCAGTGTTCACCCCTTCCAGACGTGCCCAAGCGCCCAATGCCAGGAAACTCTGAGGAGCTCCTGGCCAGCAGGCCTGCTGCTTCCACAACACCCCCCGCTGCCCCACAAGGCCCTCCCATCCCTCTCCAAATCTGCTTTCTACACTCTCCTTTCAGATAAGCTTCCAGCCCAGGACAACCACAATTTCCACTGCTAGCAGCCTACAATTCTCAACTTCTCTGAGATGCAATTTTTCCAAATGCTTTCACAGATATTAGCAAGTTCAAAAACCAAAAACAAGAGTGATTTACTGCACCCAACTCACATTAAGGAGCCGGCTGCCACTGGAAGGCAGAGGTGTCACCAATGAAGGCAATCTGTTGTAAAAGCACATGCTTCTCCAGCTGCCACCCACATATCCTGACCCTAGGCTGGGTCACCAGGAGAACCTAAGCTCCACCCCAATATACCCCCGGAGAAGTAAATTTCACTTTCTCACATTAATCTGTAGGTTTCATTCCATGGAAATTAACCCCATAGCTAGCAAGGTAAGATCCATCCATAGAAAGGGCACATTTTTCAGAAATGAAGGAAGATTTTCCACTCCCTCAGACCCACAAAAAGAGAGGGTATGCAACTTATTTGCCAGCATCCCAGGGAATCTTCCCACAAGTTCTTCAACACACTGATTTCAGCTACTCTAGTCATTTCACAAAAATGCTCCTCTCCCACCTCCTCTTACCAGAGTTGATAAAGAATGGAAGTCTTTTGGTAGCTCAGGTGCAGGTGCATCCATATGCACAGCAGAGGTGACATCCCCAGAGTCAGAGACAGGCGTGAGGGGTCTTATCCGTAACAGGTCACCTTTCTGGAATCTTTGACCCCAGGAGCTCATACAAACAAGAGCCTCGACAGCTTCCATGTCTGTCTGCTCCAAGATGCTGCACGTAGACCGTTCGCTGTCATGCCGCTTCCTCTCCAGGATGGACTCACATATGTCCATGATGCCAACCTAGAGGCGACACAACACAACAGCTTCTCAGTGCAGGGGAACTACAGAGGTCACCCATCATGGCCATGTGGCTATGCATACCAGAAGCCTGCACTAGGCATGTAATGCACATGCAACACACCATAGCAACACACACTCAGTTGTAGTAAAAGATGTTAAAGGAGGACCACTCAGCTCTTAAGCCAACATTTCAAAGACTGAAGTAAGCTGGCAAGCATTGCCATCAAAAATCCTGACTCTTTTTTTTTTTTTTTTGAGACAGAGTTTCGCTCTTGTTACCCAGGCTGGAGTGCAATGGCGCGATCTCGGCTCACCGCAACCTCCGCCTCCTGGGTTCAGGCAATTCTCCTGCCTCAGCCTCCTGAGTAGCTGGGATTACAAGCACGCACCACCATGCCCAGCTAATTTTTTGTATTTTTAGTAGAGAAGGGGTTTCACCATGTTGACCAGGATGGTCTCGATCTCTTGCCTCAGCCTCCCAAATTGCTGGGATTACAGGCGTGAGCCACCGCGCCCGGCCAAAAATCCTGACTCTTAAAAAAGGCTACTAAGTTCATACTTTTCTTGGGTAAATGATTAATAAAATTAACTCCTGAGGTGCAAGCCAAACAGTGGCTGGGGTGAAGCTGCTGCCCAGGGAGGAGGAGCTGACACTGAGGCCATCTAGTCGGTCTGCCAGTGGCCAAAGCACCCTGACCATGGCTCTCTGAGGTGGCAAAGCCACCAGAGCAGTGTTCCTACAGATGATCTCAGGGACTCTCGGGCCTTCCCCCTAGGATTCCAGGACTCCAGGCAGGTAGGGCCCATGGTGATTCCACCAGTTCCCCACCCCAGATTCAGAACAGAAGTCATCTGTTACTGTCCCAAGGCTACCAGGGGGTGACAGGAAGCAAACCTGACGCTTAGAG